GGAGTTTTCAGGAATTTAACGCTTTTCTGAAGGGCCGTTCCCAGTTAAGAGTTTCTGCGCTCAGAGCGCCAGCCTGGGAAACCAGCAGGGACGGGCATCGCCGCCGCCCATCACCGCTGCAACCAGCCGCCCCACACTTTCCTCTCGGTCCCTGCTCAAGTGAGAGCCCTCACTGTAGTGACTTACGTGCTACAAAAAAAAAAATAAAAAAAATCACAGGAAACACAACACACCATCAAGTACTTGCCTGCAGAATTAATTCAGAAGATGCAACTAAAAGGAAGTTCCAAGAACCAGGAAACCCTGTAAAAATTCACAGTAATTCACGTTCTGCACATCCCAAACCCAAACAGAAGTCTCCCTCTTCCTCGCAGGCAGCATCTCAAGGGAAAAACCACAGTAAGCTTCTCTGTTACCAGAACTTCACTGCTTCAATACAATTAATTAGTACAATTAAATATATAAATAACACAAATCTGACAACGAGTTACGAGACCTCAAACCAACCAAACTAATTCAGGGGCAAAGGAATGAGTATGATCGCAACCTGCTGTCTCACTGGGGTAGATAACACCCCCCCGTCTCCCAACGGAACGTTTTGCCGATGGCTCCGAGTCCCTCACAGGGTGCTGCTCTGTAAAACACAACGTGACACGGGGCCACGCATCGTGGTGCAGATGGCAACTCTGCCGGCTCGTGGGATGGAGAGATCGACCTCAGGATAGTCAGTGGGGCTCCAAACAGGCCCATTCATCTCCCTGCGCACTGGAAACTGCAGGAACAGAACTATTTTTCTTTTTCTTCTATTTTTTAATATCTTCCACCAGCACCACAGTCTTTAAAAAACAAAAACATAAAAAACCACACACAAAAAAACCCAAAACAACCACAACATAGAAACCCACAACACAATAAATATCTTTTTAATATAAAAGTACCACAGAACCCCTGGGCTGCGCGAACAAGCACGATAAAGGCATTCCACAGAGCTGCAAATTCGTGAGCTCTTACACACATGGTGCAAACCCGAGAACGACAGGACCTAACGGTGAGATATCAGCAAGAAACTTAAACACAAAAGCTCAGCGGACTGCGCTCTGGCACACTGCAGATTTATTTCACATCATAAAGGTCAG